TAATTCTCAGAGTCACACACTGATTCCCTGAAGAAATGTTATGAAATGATTTTCTATATTCACTAGATACTCAGAGACACCCTTAAGTGTTATTCCCTAAGGAATCTTACTTTCTTTTTCTTTTGAGATTAGTGATAAAAAAAATGCACAGATTTATTTTAAGGTAGGATACTGTAATGATGATCCCTTGTAGATACTGAATGTCATTTCATTTTATTTTATGTTTCATTTAATTTTATTATTTCATTTTATTTTTTTAATACAGGGTCTCACTGTGAAACTCTGACTGGAATGGAACTCCCTATGTAAACAAGGTTAGCTTTGTATTCAGAGACCTGTATAAAATGGGTGTAAGGGTGAGGAAATTTTTATTTTATTTTTAAAGGAGATTTTCATACATCAATTTATCTTTTTACCCTTTCACTTACTCTTCCAACACTTCCTGTGTCCCTAACTTTTTCACAAATGTGTGCCTCTCTGATCATTGTGTACGTGTGTGACCTTATTTATGATCTCTGTGGACTAGATGCAGCAATTCACACGCATTATATTTATCTCCAAAGTCACCAGAAATGATATAACTAAGAAAGACATAGGAAATATCCAACATCACACAGTCACTGAAACACAGAACAGAGGTGTCATGCCCCCAAACAACCCCTGGGGTTCGATTATCTAGTGCTTCCTCCATCCCACCCCTAACTATTACCCAGGGCCCTAATTTCTCGTGTGTACATAACCTTCTTGTTGAAAGTGCCACTAGAGATAGGTAGAACCTGTTGTTTTGTGGATTCAAAATTTCCAAGCAGAAACACCTCAGCTTTCAGAGGAGACAGAGGAAGAATGTTAAATGGTGCTTAGAATTTTGATACTCAAAAATCATTCTCCAATAGGTTTGAGTTACCAAGAGAGAAGCAAAGAAAAACAGAGGAGACTTGATATTTTCTTAATTTCAGAGAGAAAAAGCATAGATTACATGGATGTCACATGAGAGAAACAGTCCCCAGAGACCACGGAATGAGAAGCATGTTCTACTTAAAATGAGTGTGACTACTATCCAGAGTGCCCTGAAATCTCTGGCAGCTGCAGACCTCACACAGCTGGACCACAGTGACACATGTCTTTGAAGGGAACTTCATTGCAATATAATGAATGTTGAAATGTTTATCTTTAAGTAAACATGAAAAAAAAGTCTCAATTTGTCTTTAGGTGTGTGTGTGTGTGCGCGCGAGCGTGCAATCAGTTAATCAAGAGTTTCCATAACTCCATCAAGAACATCAGGAATCGTGTTCTTTCTCAGTGAAGCTGTGTCTGCTTGTGAATTTAGACAGAACAAAAACAGCAGGATCAAAAGAGGCTGAGCAGTTACATAAGGTAAGGGGAATGCTTTAAATATTATGCTTGTTTAGGGAACTGACATGAAACAAAAGCCATTCTGGTATTAACTTCCTGAGCTACTCACTGAGTCAGAATTTCAAAAGCATAAAGGATGAAGAAAGTGTGTTGACTTAACTCTACCCCATTTTTTTATTGCTCAGAGTTTTACAGCTGTGGGAATAAAATAAACAGCAATAAATAACATAACTGTGGTCTTTTAAAAACTCAGCTTTATTTTGTTTTGTTTTGTTTTGCCATTTCCATTCTCTTTCTTTCCTGCAAGCCCTCCCATATACACTTCCTTACCATTTTATGTGCTAGAAGAATATTAGGAAACCTTACAGTTATTTTCAGATACATACAGACATGCAAAGGCCTGTTCAGTATTGTCTGGCTGTGGGTTTGAAGGCAAAATCCCAGCATGGTGTGAAGCATATTGCAGATAAACAGGGCATATCTTTGTTAGAATAGTGGGGGATATGAAGCTCTTGAAAATATTAAAGGAGAAACCATTATCTCTGAGATAGCAATCTGACAGAAATTTCATCAACATGAAGATGGTTATTGCAGGGACACAGGGAAACTAATGTGTTGAATACCAGAAGTGGAAGCTGTTCATACTATGAGCTGCAACTCATATAGTGTTTGGGTAATAAGAGGTTATTCATCATTGGAAATTCTAACAAAGTATTTTCAGCAACCGTAATTACACGATCTTGTCAAATGACATGTTACCCTTTGATGTAGCTAATTATTTTCTGGAGAGTTAAGGAAGCTGTGAGGATTAGCTGTGGCTATTGTTGGTTCAAGTGTTCACATCAGTTACTGACATTTCTGAATGATCACAAATAGTAATAGAATGAGACTTTGAGTATGAAAAGTAGATTACATTAGGCTAAGTTTGTTATTCACAGTATTTTTATGATTTTGAAATCACATTTCTTCTCTGAGCAAAGGCGATAACACTGTTTAAACAGATGTAACTTAAGTAAAACAATATGTCAGAGATAGCTCCTGTTCTTCTTACTAGGGAACCCACTTGGAAACTGAGCTGCTTATGGGCTACATCTGAGCAGTGGGTCTAGGTCCTCTCCATGCATGGTCCTTGGTTGGAGCATAGGTCGCTGAAGGTCCCACTGGGCCCAGATTTGTTGGTTTTGTTGGTGTCCTAGCGAAGCTCCCCATTCTTCCATAAATTCCATAAGACTGCCCAAAGTTTGGCTATGAGTCTCAGCATCTGTTTTGATACCCTGCTTTCAGAGGCCCGTTGTGTTAGGTTCTTGCCCTATTCCCTGTCTTCCCCTACTTTTGATGTCTATCCTGTTGGTCTTTCTGAATGAAGATTAAATATCTCCCCTAGAGTCCTTTCATGTTGTTTAGCTTCTTTAGGACTATAGATTTTAGTATCTTTATCCTATTATATAACTAATATCTTTCTGCTTCTTGGTTACCTCACTCAGGATGATCTTTTCTAGTTCCATCCATTTGTCTGCAAATTTCATGATTTTCTTGTTTTAATTGCTGAGTAGTATCCCATTGGTAAATGTACCACAATTTCTGTATCCATTTTTTGGCTGAAAGGTATCTAGGTTGTTTTCAGATTCTGGCTCTTATGAATAAAGCTGCTATGAACATGGTTGAGCAAATGTCCTTGTATGGTTGAACATCTTTCAGATATATGCCTAGGCGTGGTATAGCTGGATCTTGAGGTAACACTATTGTTATTTTTTTCAAGAAAGCACCACATTTTTGTGTTTTAATATTTATTATCATTATTATATTTGTTTTTGGCTAATGACTAAAGTGCAAAATTGTATAATCTAATGAGCTAATGAATTAGCATTTGATACATACATATTGTATAATATATAAATGAGATCAACACATCTATATTCTGAGTTTATTGTTAATTAAATGGAAAACATGAAAAATGTTTTACTTCAGGTCATTGTGATATTCAGTTCACAATAGCTATACATCATCAACGACCTATGGTAGGGTCTGTTATGATTATGTGATTCTCAGTTACATGTTTATATTACTCTGGAAGTTCTTCCATTTATGATCAGGACTTTCCTGTTCACTTTACAATTTGATTCTCCAATAAATAAAATTCTAAATATTATGAACATAGTCGAGCAAATTTCCTTATTGAATGGTGGGGCACATTTTGGGTATATGCCCAGGAGTCGTATAGCTGGATCTTGAGGTGGTGCTATTCCCAAATTTCTGTGAAAGTGCCAGATTGATTTCCAAAGTGATTGTATATATTCACTAATAACAGATATTAGCTGTAAAATGTAGGACAGACATCTACAGACCTAAAGAAGCTATGTACTAAGAAGGATTTTAGGGAGTATGCTTAAATCTCACTCAGAATGGCAAACAGGATAGACACCAGAAGTGGTGGTGAGAAGAGACATGATGGGAGTCTATTATACAGGGTCCTCTGAAAGGAATCACAACAGGGATCAAAGCAGATGCTGAGGCTCACATCCAAACTTTGGGCCTAGTGCCAGGACCTGGCTTATGGAGGAAGAGAGGAGTGAGATTAGAGGGGCATGGAGGGGACAGGAGCCCCACAAGGAGACTCACAAAGCTCAAAGATCTGAGCCCGGGGGGTCCTGCAGAGACTGATGCACCAATGGGGGACCATGCATGGGGAGGACCTAGATCCCTGCTCAGATGTGGCTGACTGGCAGCTCAGTCTCCATGTGGATCTCTGAATGAGGGGAGCAGGGGCTGCCTCTATCATGAACTCAGTTGACTGCTCTCTGATCACTTGCCCCTGATGATGCAGCCTTGCCAGGCCATGGAGGAAGATGATCCACGCTGCCCTGATGAGACTTAACAAGCTATGGGCTGATGGCAATAGTGGAGAACTCTTCCTTTTATTGGACTAGGGAAAGGGGATGGGGGAGGAGGGAAGGAGTGTGTGACTGGGGGGCGGTTGATGGAGGGGGCTTAAATGAATAAATTGTGAAAAAAAATTAAAAAATTCTAAATGCTGAGTAGATTTTTTTTTTTTTTTGTAGCTGCTTAGTCTCTAAAATTGGTGTGATACTGTAACTCTATTGGGTGTATCAGAATATCCTAAATTTCTTTCCTTGGATTTCTAACAGTTCCCTACTTCACAAACTAAATATTCAATTCAAAGAAAACTGCTATCTGCTGATTATTTTTTGCCAACTCTCCTTCCTTTTATTATTTTTTTTTAAATTTTGACTCTGAAGAAATACTCTGGCTTAAAAATGTCTCATTTTCTCCACAAAAATATCAGATTAATTGTAATAACTAATAAACACAATTATCTAATAAGGGTGTATTGAATTAACAATTAAATGATATAAAATGTGTTTAAAATTAATGAATATTAAAGAACTTGTCACAAGGTCCTTAGGAATCAAAACATAATTTTCATACGTAATATACTTGACATTATATCATATGTTTAAAATTTTTACTGATGTCAGTTTTTACTAATTGTTTAGCAATTTTATGTGAGATAGATATTATATATATACATGTACATATATAATATATATAATATATTCAATGTATATTATATATAATGTCTATATGACACTAATGTAATGATCAAATTTCTCTTATATTGCAGCAAGATGGTCAGAACCACAAAAGGAGACCAAGGTAAAAATGAGACAGAAGTGACAGAATTTATCCTCTTGGGCCTGTCAGACAATCCAGAGCTGCAAGGTGTCCTCTTTGCATTGTTTCTAATTATCTACACCATGACCCTGGTGGGTAACTTGGGCATGATGGCACTTATCAAGATGGACTCCTGTCTGCACACACCTATGTACTTCTTCCTCAGCAGCCTTTCCTTTGTTGATGCCTCTTCCTCTTCTACAGTCACCCCTAAGATGCTGGTCAACCTCCTGGCTGAGGAGAAGGGCATTTCTTTCAATGGGTGTGCCACCCAGTTTTTCTTCTTTGGCTTCTTCTTGGGAACTGAATGCTTCCTGCTAGCCATGATGGCATATGACCGCTATGCAGCCATCTGGAGTCCCCTGCTGTACCCAGTTCTCATGTCTGGCAGAATTTGTTTCATGTTGGTGACTACTTCATTCCTAGCAGGCTTTGGCAATGCAGCCATCCATACAGGGATGACTTTCAGACTGTCCTTTTGTGGTTCTAATAAGATCAACCATTTCTATTGTGACACTCCACCCCTGCTCAAACTCTCTTGCGCTGACATCCATATCAATGGCATTGTGATCATGGTTTTTTCCAGTTTTATTGTTCTCATCTGTGTTCTGATTGTCCTCATTTCCTATCTGTGTATTCTTATTGCCATATTGAAGATGCCTTCTGTAGATGGAAGACACAAAGCCTTTTCCACCTGTGCCTCCCACCTTATGGCTGTCACCATCTTCTTTGGTTCAATTCTTTTCATGTACTTGCGACCTACTTCTAGCTACTCGATGGAACAGGACAAGATTGTCTCTGTGTTTTATATAGTAGTGATTCCCATGCTTAATCCTCTCATCTACAGTTTAAAAAATAAAGATGTAAGAGAGGCAGTTAAAAAAATCTTGCAGAAAAATATTTTATAAGGCTTTTCTCTCCATCCTTGTGTTATGTGGAGTATCATAGATTTTTAAATTTGCTATTTGATTTCTTAAGTTATTTATGTGTATTAAAGTTACTGTATTAACATTACAGATACTTCTTCACCTCCTACATGTTATACAGATATCTATTGGACACATATAATGAATAAATATTTATGTAAATTGGATCTCTTTGAGAATCAGCTATCTTGTCAATACAATCAATTTTAGTTATAGTTAATGTCATACATGAAAGTTAGCTATGGATTTTGAGTTTCCTAAACATCTGAAGTGTAAGAAATAAATTTTCAGTCATGATACACACATTAAAATTTATTCATTTCCAGTTTATTTATTTATTTATTTATTTTTTATTGGTCTTTTACTTTTTTTTATTTTTCTTTTTAATTACAATTTGTTAACTCTGTGTCCCAGCTGTAGCCCGCTCCCTCATTCCCTCCCTCTCCCCCACTCCCTCCCTGGTCTCCTCCCTGCCCCTTTCCAAGTCCACTGATAGGGGAGGACCTCCTCCCCTTTCATTTGACCCTGTTTTATCAGGTATCTTCAAGGCTGGCTGCAAAGTCCTCCTCTGTGGCCTAACAGGACTGCTCCTCCCCTGGGGGGGGGAGGACAAAGAGCCTGCCCTTGAGATCCTGTTAGAAATAGTCCTTTGTTCCCCTTGCTTTGGAAAACTACTTGGTTACTGAGCTATCACGGGCCACATCCCAGCAGAAGTTCTATGTTATATCCATAGATGGTCCTTGGTTGAGTGTCAGTCTCAGAAAAGGCTCTGTGCCCCGATATATTCGGTACTTGTAGAGCTCCTATCCTTTCCATTTCATACTAACTCCCCTTCTTTCATATGATTCCCTGCACTCTGCTATGGTTTGGTTATGAGTCTTAGTGTCTGCTTTGAAACACTGCTAGGTAGAGTCTTTCAGATGCCTTTTGCGGTAGACTCCTGTCATACATTCAATGCACATCCCATTTGTCTTTCTAAATGAGAATTGATCATCTTCACCCATATCCACTTACTTGATTATCTTCTTTAGGTGTGTAGATTTCATTATGTTTATCATATCATGGGGAATGGAGCCAAACAGAATTCTCGAAAGAGGAACATCAAATGGCAGAGAAACACTTAAAGAAATGCTCAACCTCATTAGCCATTAGGGAAATGCAAATCAAAACAACCCTGAGATTTCACCTTACACCCATCAGAATGGCCAAGATGAAAAACTCAAGGGACAACACATGCTGGAGAGGTTGTGGAGAAAGGGCAACCCTTCTCCACTGCTGGTGGGAATGTAAACTGGTACAACCACTCTGGAAATCAATCTGGCGCTTTCTCAGACAACTAGGAATAGCGCTTCCTCAAGATCCAGCCATACCACTCCTAGGCATATACCCAAAAGAGGCGCAAGTACACAAAGAGGACATTTGCTCAACCATGTTTGTAGCAGCTTTATTTGTAATAGCCAGAAGCTGGAAACAACCCAGATGCCCCTCAACTGAAGAATGGATGCAGAAACTGTGGTACATCTATACAATGGAGTATTACTCAGCAATGAAAAATAAGGAAATCATGAAATTTTCAGGTAAATGGTGGGACCTGGAAAGGATCATCCTGAGTGAGTTGTCCCATAAGCAAAAAGACATGCATGGTATATACTCACTCATATAAACATACAACATAGAATAAACCCACTAAAATCTGTACATCTAAACAAACTAAGCAAAAGAGAGGACCCTAACTAAAATGTTCAATCCCCATCCTGAAAGGCAAAGAGGATGGACATCAGAAGAAAAAGAAAATAGGAAACAACCTAGGAACCTGCTACAGAGGGCCTCTGAAAGCCAGAAGAAAACAGGAAACAACCTTGAAATCTGCCACAGAGGGCCTCTGAAAGCCTCTGCAGTATAGACTGTCAAAACAGATGCTGAGCCTGATGGCCAACTGATGGGCAGAGTGAATGGAATTTTATGTAAGAAGTGGGAAATAGTAAGAGCTGGAGGGGACGGGAACTCCACAAGGAGAGCAACAGAACAAGATAATTTGAACACAGGGAACTTCCTAGAGACTCATACTCCAACCAAGGACTATTCGTGGAGATAACCTAGAACCCCTGCACAGATGTAGCCCATGGCAGTTCAGTGTCCAAGTGGGTTACATAGTAATGGAAAGAGGGACTGCCTCTGACATAATCTGATTGGTCTGCTCTTTGATCACCTCCCCCTGAGGGGGGAGCAGCCTTACCAGGCCATGGTAGAGGACAATGCAGCCACTGTTGATGAGAACTGATAGACTAAGATCAGAAAGGAGAGGAGACCCTCCCCTCTCAGTGGACTTGGGGAGTGGCATGCATGCAGAAAGGGGAGGGAGGGTGGGATCGGGAGGGGAGGAGGGAGGGGCTTATGGGGGGATACAAAAATGAATAAAGTGTAATTAATAAAATTTAAAAAATGCAAAAAAGAGTTATAATACATTTTCAGATCATTGTAGATAACATCTTACAGAAGAAAATGAATTTTTGCTGATGTTTTTGTGTGTTTTATTTCCTTACTTTTGCCATAAACCACAATAAAGTTGGAATTACATTTTTTCTACTGTAATTAAAAGTCAACCAGAGCTACAGTGTCTTGGTTTTATGATATTTTTATCCTTCATACAATACATGTGACTGGTTTGAACTTTTGTAGGTCTTTGGGATACATACACAGCCACTGTGAATTCATTTCTTCAGCAGTCTTGTTATGTACAACAAATCATACTTGATGCAGATGCCCAGAGTCTCCAAATCTTTAATCCTTTCTTCTCCAATTATCCCCAAGCCTGGAGGGGAGGGAGTGTGATTTAGACATTCCCTTTAGAGTGGCATCTCACAGTCTCTTTTTCTCACATGTCGACCAGTTGAGAGTCTATAGTTAATCCCCATATACTGTAAAAAGAGGATTTACTGACAAGGACTGAATGATGCTCTAATCTATGAGTACGTTATGCTTATTTAACAGAGAAATAGTTTTAAGTTATATCTTAGGCCTATGTGTTAGTCATCTATAGGTTAATGATCCAGTTAATAGTAGTAGTCTTATGAAGTAGGAATTTAATCATATCATAATTTGTCTTGGTTCTAAAATAACATTCATGCCATTATTTATTAAAAGAAATAAATTTCTGTGCTCTGCATGCTTTTAATTTCTTTGTGCCATTTTAATTAAATTCCTTGTGGTAAACAGCATTATATTTTTTTCAGAGAAAAAATATAAGTTGAAAATGATTAGCTTTCTTTTTCTCATCATCATAATAATAAATATCTAAAGGATAATTTCATTTTTTGACTGTGGGAAAGAAAAATTACTTTTATATCAAATTTGTATAGATAAAATTATTCAGAAAAAAACAAAAATTAAATTGTGGCATTCAGCAAAATTCAAGAAATGGGAAAGACTGTATTTGTATTATACTCTTTCAGTGACCTTTCCTCAAAATTCTCAGTTATCATGCCTCATCTTTCAGTCATGCCTGATGACCTCTCCTTAGTGAGCACAGAGGGAAATGAGAGATTCTCGGGGCAGTCCCTTAGGATACTAAGTTCATAAAATGTCATCTAACTATGTCTTTGTCTTTATTTTTGCTATCAATAGATGAAACAACACACACACACACACACAGAGAGAGAGAGAGAGGGAGGGAGGGAGGGGGAGGAAGAGTTGTTTATACATGTTAGGGAGAGATTTTGGCCTCTTAGGTGAACTCACAGCCTCCAACTAAGATTATGCCCATGGGAATCAAAGAACATTTAAATTGGATCTTTTAAGCTATTTTTAGACACTTAGGAAATTATACCAAGAAAATACATTATAAATCTTCCTAGTTTGTATGACATACAGTAGGACAGTATTTGCAGGTAGGCTAAATTCTGTATTTGTTAACTAAAATATATTTGTATATAAATTGCTATCTATCACTGTGGGAAATAGTCAATTGCCCTTACTGACCCTTTTATTCATATGTCAATATATCTTAGTGACTTAAGAATCCATTATTATATGTGAACTCTGATGTATGTATGAGAAGCAAATGAATGACAGTTTTTAAAGTGAAATATGAAAGGCATTTTTTTATGGTGTCACAAATACATACAAGTCCTAGATAGTAGATGAAACTGGCATTGACACCATATTTAAGAATCTGTGCTTCCCGAATCAGCTGAGCTTATGAGTGGGTTAGAGCATAAGAACATTTTACACACGCACACACACACACACTCATAGAGTAATTCCACACTGTACTGATAGATCTTATCTTATTGTAGACACTTGAATATGGTTTTGACTGTTCAAATATTGCCTTTCAGGGATCTTCTCATATCCATCTGAAACCTTTGCTTTTTTTTGTCACAGTTTATTTTCATTTGATAATATATTGCATAACTTTATTAATTAGTATCCATTCCTTTTACACTGTAGCATACACTCTGTGAGAGTATGTAATCACTGCTATAATTCTATAGAGTAATGGCAGAAAGGAATTTGCTGTGAACAGGAGTAAATGTATTGATAAATATCCAACAAGGAACAATTCTTCTTTCCTTACTATTATTGCTTTATTGTTACTGATGGTATCAGTGGTTTTGGTTGTAGAAACATGTCTTTGCTTTGTTGATTAATTATCCACAGGTCAATCAGATGTTGTCAGTTTTTCTTCTGTAACCACCCAGGAGCTGGGAATACAAACAATTGGCACCAGGATCTGATGAGAATACTCCTTGAAATATTTCTTTAACAAACTCTTATATATTTTTTAACAGATAAATTTCAGAGGTTCTTGGTTCTCTTATTGACAAATGTGGGTTATAAGTACCATGTTGTCTTAAACATGTTGTCTTGCCATGGTCATATTTTATTTTTGCTTTATATATGCAGGATATGATAACTTCAAAGACTAGAAACAGTTCTTTATTTTCCATTCATTTTATAATAACGGCTAAGTGACATGCATTTAAAACTTTCTCCTTAAGTTCAATTGTTAAAAAATATGAAAATTTATTCAACATGGGCATTGCTAAGTACATAGGTATACATGTGTAAATATGTATGAAAGTTCTTGTCTATGGTGGAATACATGCAGTTGTGATCCAGAAGAAAGACAATAAAATTGATGCTGTTGTCTGCTTGTGTGATTAAAAAGGATACAAACGAAAACAGATCACCAAAAATAAGTGTTGACCATGATAGGTGAGAATTTACGAGAATTTGATGAGAAAAGGAATTGTGCTGCAGATCAAAATATATACATTAAAAAGCTCAGAGGTGAACACACAGTCTAGATGAGAAGGCACTGTTTATATTCTTCTCACTTCATATTGCAAATTGAAAGAGAATGTCTTCGCTAAACCACACTGCAGTGATGGGCTTCATTCTTGTCGGACTCACAGACAGCCCAGTCCTGGGCAGGATCCTCTTTGTGGTGTTTCTGGTCATCTTTGCCATCACACTGGCAGGAAACCTGTGCTTGATTGTGCTGATCCGGACCAATCCCCACCTGCAAACGCCAATGTACTTCTTCCTTGGGCACCTCTCCTTTGTAGACATTTGCTACTCTTCCAATGTGACCCCAAACATGCTGCACGGCTTCATCTCACACCAGAAGACCATCTCCTATGCTGGGTGCTTCACACAGTGTCTCCTCTTCATTGCTCTGGTGATCACGGAGTTTTACATCCTTGCTTCAATGGCCCTGGACCGCTATGTGGCCATTTGTAGCCCTCTGCATTATAGTACCAGGATGTCCAGGAAAGTTTGTGTGTCTCTAGTCACATTCCCATATGTGTTTGGGTTCCTGAATGGGCTTTCTCAGACTCTACTCACTTTCCACCTATCTTTCTGTGGCTCCCATGAAATCAACCACTTCTACTGTGCAGACCCTCCTCTCATCATGCTGGCCTGCTCTGACACTCATGTCAAAAAGATGGCCATGTTTGTGGTAGCTGGCTTTACTCTCATAAGCTCGCTCTCTATCATTCTTGTATCTTACCTGTATATTTTTGGAGCCATCTTGAGGATTCGCTCTGCTGAGGGAAGACAAAAGGCCTTTTCTACATGTGGTTCCCACATGACAACAGTCACCATATTTTATGGAACGCTTTTCTGCATGTATTTAAAGCCTCCATCAGAGAAGTCAGTAGAGGAGTCCAAAATAATTGCAGTTTTTTATACTTTTTTGAGTCCATTCCTAAACCCCCTGATCTATAGCCTAAGGAATAAGGATGTCATCAATGCTATGAAGCAGGTGATCAAGAAAATTTTTTTTCAGAAAATCTTGGTTTAGGAAGATATTTTTGTCTTATTAGTAGGTTTCTCTGATGACATAGTATCTATGGGATGATGTTATTATTTCAGACTTACTACTTGTGTATCAGCATATACCCATGTTAGTCATTGTTTGACAATTTCCTTGCGTACTTCACACCTTGTATTTATAATCTTTACCAAAACTATAATATTGGAATTAGAAAATGTTCAGAAAATTTCTTATTTCTTATTTCATATTCAAGACATCATATAAAGACATTGTCTTAATTTGCATGAAATGTACTTTCTAACTTGTCTTAAAGAGAACAAGGTAAAGCATTACCCTATGCATGATAATATGTTTGAAGGTATAGAATATTTCAAAATGGTGAATAGTTTTATACTATTTTTTAACAGTGTTGATTTTCTACTATAAAGAACAGTACAAAATGCTTTGTTGCCTGGTTTATCAATGAAAGAGCATAAAGCATAAAACCATCAATACTCAAAATAACTTAAATTCTCATTTTGTACAACTGTTTGATTTACACATTGTTAATGAGATAACGAGTGCCTGTTTATGGCACACAGGATTTTTTCACAGAAATTAGTGGCACAAAGTCTCTCAATCATAAAGTAGCACACATATTCTTTACTGTTTATTCCCCCTATGATATCCTTACTTTAGTGCCTATCGTCTCTCAGCATATCAGTTGATGGATAAGAATGTTGAGGGTGACGGTTGCATAAGGTAACACTTTGCATCTACTGCTGTGAGTAAACATTTGAAGATGGTTATGGTGTCTGGTTTTTAAAGAAACACCTAAGATCTACTTTTTTGGGGTTTCCTGTTACATGATAATGTTGCACATTATAAAGAGAATTATTTGATTGTTTCATATGGGTGAAGAGAATTGGTTATGATAAGCTTTTTAGGCTGTATTATATTAATATAAATAATTACATACTCGTTAAAACAACTAGGATGTCAGAATGAATGTGAAGAAGAAATTAGCAGCCTATGTACAACACCACGAGTGAGGCAGATGGTACATTTTTATATTATCTTTAAAAAACTTCTTGTTCAGATGTTTGTGTAAAGCCTATGAAGCAAAACTGAAATCTTATTCTATACATGGCAATCAACATTGATTCTCATAAGTATCATGTCTGTACTTATATGCATAAATAATTAATCATTTATATTATTAATCATTTGATCTTTATAACACGTATACAATTTGGAGTAAGAAATTTAAAATATATACCAAGTTTGTCTTTCTCCTTCTGGGATACTTCACTCAGAATGATCTTTTCTAGATCCCACCTTGGTATATACTCGCTTATATAGACCTACAAGACATGATAAACATAATGAAATCTACACACCTATAGAAGATAATCAAGAAAGTGGACACAGGCGAAGGTGATTAATCCTCATTTAGAAAGACAAATGGGATGTGCATTGAACTTATGACAGGAGTCTACCACAAAAGGCATCTGAAAGACTCTACCTAGCAGTGTTTCAAAGCAGACACTAAGACTCATAACCAAACCCTCGGCAGAGTGCAGGGAATCATATGAAAGAAGGGAAGTTAGTATGATATGGAAAGGATAGGAGCTCTACAAGGACCAAATATATCTGGGCACAGGGTCTTTTCTGAGACTGACACTCAACCAAGGACCATCTATGGATATAACCTAGAACTTTTGCTCGGATGTGGCCCGTGGTAGCTCAGTAACCAAGTAGTTTTCCAAAGTAAGGGGAACACGGACTATTTCTAACAGGATCTCAAGGGCAGGCTGTTTGACACCCCCCCACCCAGGGGAGGAGCAGTCTGTTAGGCCACAGAGGAGGACTTTGCAGCCAGCCCTGAAGATACCTGATAAAACAGGGTCAGATGAAAGGGGAGGAGGTCCTCCCCTATCAGGGGACTTGGAAAGGGGCAGGGAGGAGACCAGGGAGGGAGTGTGGGGTTGGGGAGGGAATGAGGGAGCGGGATACAGCTGGGACACAGAGTTAACAAAATGTAACTAAAAAGAAAAATAAAATTAAAAAAAAAAGAAAGAAATTTAAAATATTGAAAGACAGAAGGAATCCAAACAAAATTAACTTATATTTTCACTAAAAGATATGTTGTGTTTTCTTTCATCTTTTTGCAAATTGTTTAACTACCACATCCATGTACAAAATATTTTTTATGGTTCTATTGCTTTGTATTAAAAAAAAACTCTTTTCATTTGGGATAAATTCTTGGATTTAGAATTTCTAAATAAAGCTGGCTGCATTGTTTTCCTCTGTGGCCTGGCGAGGCTGCAACCCCACCCCCAAGGAGAGGTGATCAAAGAGCCAGCCACTGTAGAGGGGCACAGGGGCAGATGAGGTAGGGAATTTGGGACTGGCAGGAGACGAGGGAGAGAGGGGCCACAGCCTGGATACAAAGTGAATAAATTGTAATAAATAATAATAATAAAAAGAGAAAAATATGAATTATATATTTTTGTGTATTTAGAAAAAAATCCCCTTGTTTATTATGTGCTTGTTGAGGAGGATAGGGAATTACATGTTTGCCATGGCAGGCAGAGGTCAGAATACAGTCATAGAGAAGCTGATTATCTCCTTTCAACTTTTGCATTGGTTTCAGAAAAAAAGAAAAAAAAAAAAAAACCACCTGAACCTTCTTATTGGCTCTATTTTAAATGATTTTTAATTAAATTTTTATTTTTTATATGAATTACAGTTTATTTACTTTGTATCCCAGCTGTAGCCCCCTTCCTCATTCCCTCCCACCCTTCCTCCTTCGTCTTCTACCTGACCCTCTCTAAGTCCGAGGATAGGGGAGGTCTTCCTCCCCTTCCATCTTACCCTAGTTTATCAGGTCTCTTTAGGACTGGCTGCATTGTCCTCCTCTGTGGCCTGGTAAGGCTGCTCTTCCCTCAGGGGGTAGGGGGGTGAGGTCAAAGAGGAAGCCACTGAGTTCATGTCAGAGACAGCCCCTGTTCCCCTTACTAGGAAACCCACTTGGATACTGAGCTGCCATGGACTACATCTGAGCAGGGTTTCTAAGTTATATCCATTCATGGTCCTTGGTTAGAGAATCAGTCTCAGAAAAGACCCCTGGGCCCAGATATATTTTGTCCTTGTGGAGCTCCTATCCTCTCCAGGTCTTACTAACTCTCACTTCTTTCATATGATTTTAAAGCTTTTGATTTTCATAGTTTGATATATACTGTGTCTACATAGAAAATAAATAGAATGCTGTCATTTCAGAAGAAAGTGCTTTAAGGAATGTCCACTTTCTATCTCAAAGCAGTAAATTGGTAGAATTGTTAACTTGTATTTACAAAGACTTTTCTAAAGATGGGAGAAACACTGTCTAAACATATCAGGAGGTTGTACTAAAACATATCAAAACTCAATTGTATTTTTCAAACTTTTACAAAGCTAATACAAAGTAGGTTCAAGTAATCTGTAATTGTTATGATCTAACTAAATAAAAGATAGTAAATGCCTATTTTTATTAAAATAATTTGTAAATTGAAACTGGTGATTAATACACAAAAATATAGCTAATAATACTGTTGGAGTAAAAATGCTACAAATCACTTTTATATAAAAAGTGGCGAATAAAATGTATAATTATATACATAATAAAGTGTATAGTTATCGTCTCTGAAAAGGCAAACTAAGCCATTCTCGGAAAGATAGCTATCAGAATATCATGTTTTCCTCAAATTCAGAGTCTGGATCAAACACACATGTGTACACACACACACACACACACACACACACACTCACATAAACACACCATTGTAGTAGATAAAGAATCATTTTGGGATGACAGAGGAGCAGTAAGAATATGGAATAGAGATAAGGAAAGAAAAAAGAGGGGAAAATATTAAGATGTATCAACCAATGACCATCCCTGGAGAGGACCTAGACTCTGCTCAGATGTAGCCATGGGAAGTTCCATGTGGGTGCCCTAGTAAGGGGAGAAAAGACAGTCTCTGACATGAACTCAGTTACCTGCTTGTTGGTCACTGCCTCCCTGGTGGGGCAACCTAGCCAACCCACAGAGGAAGAGGATCCAGGGAGTCTTGATGGTACCTGATAGGCAAGGGTCAGACAGTAGGGAAGGAGGACTTCCCCTATGGACTAGGGAAGAAGGATAGGGGAGGAAGAAGGAGGGAGGGTAGGACAGGGAGAACATGAAGAGGGGGGCTACAACTGGAATAGAAACTGAGCAAATTGTAAATAATAATAACAAAAGGAAAAAAAACACCGATATACATGATTCAAATTTCATAACATAATTTACTATTTTCCTTGTTACTAAAATTAATACAAAACAAATTAATTTTGTGGAAGTTAAATTAATAAAACAAACGGAACAATTACTAAAATAAACTAAAACATTGTATTCTTTGGTGAATGTTTGAAACAATGGGGTTTAAATTTAAGCTATCTACATGTAAAGTTTTAAGTAAAGTACAGTGGGAAAAATATCTGAAATTAGAGATGTACAAATTGTATACATTAGAGCATGATCAGCTTCTTCAGCAGTAATCTGTTCTGCATATGCATGACTGTGAACCCCTTTCTGTAGTGATGCACTATTCTGAAAATGTCTCCTACATTACAAAAGAACGGGACTTTTGCTGAATCCCGCATCCAGAGTTAATAACACACTTTAAGGTCACTTACAGCCTAAATTTGCCATCCTACAGCTGTTTGTTTAACCTGCCTTTAAGGGATCAACATAAAAACTAACCTGACTTGCCTTGGATCTCCTATGTAATTAATTTTTACAGCTAAAGCCGATGCATAGCTATAATCTTAAATTATATACACATTCATGCCCCTGACCAAGAAAAGTACATGCATATCATTTGCTGAAAGCAGAAAATACAGAGGTTGAAAGCAATCTTCTAAAATCAACCGTAAATTTACGAATACAAATTGATATTGATGAACACTATTTCTAGTGCTGTCAATTGTTTGCGTTGGTGGAGATCAGTTGAAGCCAGTGACTTTGT